TGGAAAAAAATGATTACAAACTTTATATGGAAAGGAAGGAGTCCCCAGATAAGTAAAGCACTGCTTAAGAAGAAGAACAAGGTTGGAGGCCTCTCACTCCCTGATTTCACATTTTACTACACGGCTACAGTGTTCAAAACAGACTGGTACTTGTACAATGAAAGATTCATGGATCAATGGAACAGAATTGAGAATGCAGAAATTAATCTGTCCACATACAGCCAACTGACCTTTGACAATGGGCCAAAGTACATTGAATGGGGAGGAGATAATCTCTTCAACAGATGGTACTGGCAGAACTGGAAATCGATATGCAAAAGATTGAAATAAGGCCTTTAATTACGCCATATACAAAAAACAACTCAGCATGGATTAAAGACCTAAATGTGAATCCCAGAATTATAAAGGTCATCAATGAAAAAATAGGGATAAATTTAAGGGCTCTAATACAGGGCACACACAGACTACCAAATATTGCAAAAATTGCACAAACAAAACAAGGCAAAATAGATGATTGTGACATTCTAAAAATTAGAAACTTATGTGCATCAAAGATTGCATCAAAAGAATAAAAAGGGAGCTCACAGTATGGGAAACAATCTTTTGCAATGACATATCAGACAAGGGACTATTTTCTAAAATCTATAGAAAACATACAACACCTCTACAGGAAAAAGACAAATAATCCGATTAAAAAATGGGCACAGGACATGATCAGACACTTCAAGGAAAACATTTGGGTAGCCAACAAACATATGAAGAAATGTTCACAATCATTAGGCATTGTTGTTGTTGTTGTTGTTAAGTGCCATCGAGTCATTTCTGACCTATAGTGACCCTGTTTAGGGTTTCTGAGGAGCAGTTGGTGAGCTTGAAACACTAACATTGCAGTTCAAATGGCTTTGCAGTCTGGCTCATTAACCCACAGTGCTAGATGCAAATCAAAGTAACAATGAGATGTCATCTCACACCGGCAATAACAGTGAAGTTCAAGAAAGCAGAGGACCATAAACGCTGATGAGGCTATGAAGAGACAGGGACCCTCCTACATTACTGGTGGGAATGCAAAATTCTTCAACCACTCTGGAAAATGGTATGGTGCTTCCTCAGAAAGTTGGAAATACCTTATGATTCAACAATTCCTTTACTTGGTATATGTCCACAAGAAATAGGAGCCTGAACATGAGTAGATAAATGCACACCAATGTTTATTGCTGCACTATTCACAATAGCAAAAAGATGGAGACAGCCTAAGTGCCCATCAATGGAAGAATAGATAAACAAACTTTGGTATATACACTCAATGGAATGCTACCTTGAAGAATAACAAGAAAGCTGAAAGCCACTGCATAACACTGATGAACCTTGGGGACATTAGCTGAGTAAAATTAGTCAGTCACAAAAGGACAAATATTGCATAAGAAAATTATTGTAAAAGCGTAAGAAAAGATAACCATACTGGGGGGGGGGATTCTTTGTTGGTTACCAGGGGTGGCAGGGAGGGGATGGTAGAGCACAGGTTAGAGGATAGACACATCATAATTCAGGTATTGCGAAGGGCAATACACAAGAAGGAAGGGGAAGGCAATACACAAGAAGGGAGAGGAGGATGGAAGAACCAGGTAGACATGGGAAAACTTAGGTAGGTTTGTATGGGCTAAATGGGACAGAGGTAAATAATGATATATTCTCATCCTTGGAAAAATAGGACTATCTGATACAGGGATTAAGGCATAGTCTGAATGGGCAAAAGAGGGGAAATAATGTTAAGATGCTTGGCTGTCTTATGGATATTGGTTTCCCTTGCCTACTATTGTAAAATAGACACTTGAGTGGGATAGAAAAGAATATTGGGAAACATGATTACAGAAAGCTTGTAAGGCCGTCTTCAGCCTATAACTCATTGGAATACCTAAAAGGGGTTCTTTTAGATCTTGCCCAGTTAAATAGGCTTCTTGTGGAGCCCTTGTAGTATACAGGACCTTAGGTGGAAACCTGATGCCCATCCAGAACTTTCTGAGGTAGGACATTCCCACTTGAAAGGACATAGAGATCAGCCCAGAGCAGCTAGAGGAACAGAAGATACTTCTTGAGAGAAAGACCAGCAGGAAAAAACAAAATCAAACACAGTAGTCTGTTGGCTATTACAAGAACTGGCAAGCTGTTTGCTGGGGATCCACCAAGGCAAGCAATCAAATCCCTTCAGGACAAACCCCCCTCCAATATTGAAACTCAAAGGGAACTCATGAGCAGGCTTGTAAACTCACTGGTGACCATGTTGGTCTACTGATGAATTGGAAGTGTAGGAAAGACATTAATGAGGATATGGGCTGACTTCAACCACATTCCATAGGCTCCTGTCAACGTCGTGATGAGAGAAAGAAGAAAGGCTAGTTGGTCCAAAGTTTGGGGAGACTTGGGAATTTCTGAGCCTATAGACATTAACCTAGCCATGGAAGGCTAGAGCTGAGAGTGAAGTATCCAGCTGATATGAAGTGAGGGAAGACACACAAGAACACCCAAACTTGCAGATAGTACCCATTTGACTTAGCGTCCATGGTTTGATGACCAGAGCTCAACTAGAGGAAGATAAAGAAATTTGATAAAGAAATCAAGTGTAAATTGCTACAAGTTGATGAACTTGACTTATATACCTATACCTATAGCTCAAAATACCAACTGAGAGGGAAGGAGTCTTTACTCAAAGACCAAACCTATCCCTTCTGTACATAGAGTTGATAGGGATGGGTAACTTAGATATGTTGTTGTTGTTAAGTGCCATTGAGTCGATTATGACCCATAGCGACCCTGTATAGGGTTTCCAAGGAACAGCTGATGAATTTGAACTGCCGACCTTGTAGTTCAAACAGCTTTGCAGTCTGGCGCATTAACCCACAGTGCCACACCTAAAATGGGGGGTGGGGCTATAAAGGCACGAAGAGGCTGGCTTACAAGTTTTCAAGAGGGAGTTTAGTTTCAGAGTTTGTGGGGGAAGGTAGAACACCTACTGAATAGTTTTCATCTTGTCTAGCTGGGTCTGGTGAAAGGAGATGGGGCTAAGACTCTTTCAACTCAGTAGTAATTGTGTGAGTGTCACAACTGTAAAGGTAGAATTTTTTTTAACATAAATTTGGGAGTAGTCAATCTTACATTCCAGGAACAGAGGACTCTAGGACCATCAAGAGAAGAGCATGAGAGGAATGTGGGACCCCATCCAGAGAAGCAGCGACACCAGAGATGGAGGAAGAGATGAAGACATGGAGAGATAGAGCAGCTGAGGACCCTAGGCTCATGGAAAGAGAAAGGTTGTGTGCTGGCGGGCTTGCAAAATGTGCCCTATGGTTGTTTAAACAAGTATATATTCCTGTGTGCTTTTGTGTACATCAAAAAAGGAAGGGGGCAGGAATAGAGGTAAATACTATTAACCAATGGTGCATGGAGAGGATAGGGGATTGCAATCATTACAATGAAACAAAATATGATTGGTTGAGAGCAAAATATGATTGGTTGAGAGCTCTACAAGGTAAACTATCACTCAATTCACAATAAAAGCTTTAAAAAAATTAGCAAAAAGAATTGAACAAGGCCTATAAAGCCCGAATAGACAATTTATTTCAATATAAAAGATGAAAAAGTTTTATGTACATATGTTAATAAAATATTTAAGATATCCCCACCAGGAATATTCCAAATCCTTGGGTCAATTAGGCACTATCTAGACATTCATTAATAAATAAATAATTGCTAATAACAAACTTGCATATACAAGAGATCAACCCAAAACTTCTCATCTACTGTCAGGGAAGTGTCAGTATTTTCTTCTTTCGCATAGCATGCCAAATTAAGCTGTGAAAGGTAGCTATTTGCTGAAAATACTAGAAAACAAAGATCTGTGAGCAAACTCATCTTGTTGATTTTAGTAAACAGATGACAGCCAAGCTAAAAGCAGTCATCTAGTTCATAGGCTGCAAACCACTTCAAATGGATTTCCAGTTATGCCAGAGAAGCATTTATTTATTACTTGGTTTGGGGTTTTGCTTTGCTCTGAAATTGATTGTGGAAAGTCTTTTGTTACTCCTTTCTTTCGAGCTCAATTCTTTCTAGGGAGCATTGAGAAGTAATACAGGTAGCCCACGGGGGACAGTGGAGACTAGGGAGAATTTAATATTTCCTAGGGATAATTTTCTCATCTACTTGCTGTACCCCAAATGGGGAAAGTTGTATCCTGGAGCCTTTCCCTGCCTCTTCCAAGGACCCTGGAGACCCCTGTTAGAGTACTCTCCCACTCCACTCTAACCCACCCAAAGCACGCCAGGCACAATTTTATTCTCAAGAGCAATAACACAGAACAGTAGATTTAGGAGCTTCCAGGATCTGCTTCCCAACATTCACCAAAGGAAAAAAAAATACCTGACCCTTCCCAAGAATTCCCAAGTATTTCTCTAATTCCCAAGTATGTTGTTGGGTGTGATTGAGTAAATTTTGACTCAGAGCGACCCTATAGGACAGAATAGAACTGTCCCATAGGGTTGTGTGGAGTCCTGGTATGGTGATGGAGGATAAGCACTGGACTGTTAACCACAAGGTCATCAGTTCAAACCCACCAGCCACTCCTTAGAAACCCTATATAGGGTTGATATGAGTCTGTACTGACTCAATGGCACTTAACAACAACAATTGTGACCATAAGGATCCTGTACAGGATTTTCGAGGAGTGGCTGGTGAGCTTGACTTTGTGGTTCAAACTGACTTTGCGTGTTCATCCGCAGTGTCACACCAGGATTCCAAAAACAAAATAGGGTTCCCCAAACTGTAGTCTCCCTACATCTTTTCTTCTGAACACCCAATGGGTTAACTACTTTGCCATTTTAACTTTTTGAGTAGCACAATATACTATTTAAAATAATTTCTTGTTTTCCAAATGATATATTTTCTAAACAGAAAAAAATAACTAAGTAAAAGTACAGGATAGCAGATAAAATCCTTTGATTGAAATTTACCTGTTTGAGCCACACATTAGTTGTCATCAGTTGGTTCTTTTCATCCTAAGAAAATGACAGTGAGAAAGGTTTTGTAAATTATATCATTGAATTGTACATTTAGAAATTGTTGAAAAGATGTAGGTTTTGTTATGTATATATTCACTAGAATAATTCTTTAAAAAATTCTTTAAAAAAATGTAAATTTAAACAAAATGAACATTTTTTTTGTCAGATAGCTCTCTTATTATTTACCTTTGTTCAAAGTGTAATAGTTAAATGGCATGTGATTCTAAAATATTATGCTTATTTTCTTTAAAATGAAAAATAATAGTTATAGCAAGTAGCAGATCATTATGCCAATATTTGTATCAAATTGTACAATTCAGAAGTCACTTCAAGGGTGCAAAGTAGAATTAAAAGATAACTAAACCAGAAGTGTATTAAGATGAAGCAATGTGGAAATTTATCTTTCAATTTTTTTTTTTTTTCTAGTAGGAATCCTGGAGCACTAAGGCAACTGGGGCTCAGTGGGGGAGTGCTCAGGTATGTGTGTCTGAGCGTGGGGGTGGGGGTTTGAACAGTATAGAAGGATTATTCTGGGTGGTGTCAATGGAAGCTAACCAAAAGGTTAATAAGGCCTGGTGATCCACTACCAATAAATCAGCCATTGAAAACCCAATGGAACACAGTCTTCCATTGACACACATGGGTTCACCATGATTTGGAGTTGACTCAATGGCAACTGGGTTGTAGTCTGAGATTTTGGGGGCTACAGCAAGAGGATTTTGCTACATTTGGAAAGGAAATTTCACTATCTCAGGCACACAATCATGGCAGAAGTGTGAGCCCAACCACGGTTGATAAGGCCTAGGGGAGGTCAGGGGGAAAGATATGAGGTGCTGAGGGCATTCAGGAAGGTGATGAGATACCCAAAGATTGCAGCTCTAGGATCTGGGAGATGCAATGGCATTCGGGACTCTGTCATTTCTGCTCTCAGGAGACCCCTGCCTGCCCCTTCCCATCTGCCGCTGATTGAAGGAGCCTAGTTTACACTGAACCCATCTAAAACTACAGCTCTCAGTTCTCCTCTCTCTCCTACTCCCACCCTGATGCTCAGCAAATCCCCAATGTCAAATCCTATCACAACAACCACACTAACAGTGTCATAATGGAAACTGACACTCTGACACTCTTCACTCTTTCACTGGCTTTTTGAGACAGATTTTCTCTCATGGTAAATTATTTTTAAAATTAAAAAAGCAGACCCAGAGGAAAAATAAGCAAATCTTACACCAACAAACAGGTTAAGGAATGCAGGCTCTTTGTAACACAGCATCAAGAATTACTCACCACATCTACCAGCTGGGAAATTTTCAATCCAAAGTATACTTTAATGGTGTCATTTGAATGTAAGACTGGACGAACCCATTTCTGATAATCTTGGAATAAATGTCTGAGGAGGGCATCTTCATTTTCAGCTATAGAACTGAATACTGAAGCTTCTGTAAGAATCATAAGGGAACCAGAATTAATGGGAGAAACATAATGGTTGGCTTAGCATCCTATGGTCTGAGTAGGGGAGTTGAGCACTGCAGAGGCCTTTATTTACTTATTTTTGATGGCCTGCAGAAGTTTCCTGTCACTGCCATAACAAATTACCAATGAAGTAGAAGCTTCAAAGGACAAAGTTCTAGAGACCAGAAGTCTAAAATCAGTGTTGGAGGCACCATGTTCCATCCAGAGTCTCTAGAGGAGAATCTGTTGTTGTGTTGACCAACTTTTGGTGGTCCTAAGCCATTTGAACTGCAAGGTCGGCAGTTCAAGCTCACCAGCCGCTCCTTGGAAACCCTATACAGGGTCGCTATGGGTCGGAACTGACTCAATGGCACATAACAACAACAACAACAAGCAGTGTTTGACTTGTGCTGCATAAACCCCATTTCTGCCTCCATCTTCAAATGACATCACTTTTTCTCTATGTCTCCTTTTTTATCTCTTATAAGGACACTTGCCTGGTGGTGCTGTAGGATAAACACTGGACTGCTAACTACCTGGTCAGTGGTTCAAACCCACTAGTCACTCCTCAGGAAGAAGATGAGGCTGTCTGTGTACTCCTATAAAAGTTTACAGTCTGGGAAATCCTATGTAGGGTCAGAGTTGACTCAATGGCAGTACTTGTGGTTTTGCTTTTGGCCATTGGATTTAGGGCCTGATCTGATTTTCAATAACCTCATATGCATGCGAAAGCTGGACAGTGAATAAGGAAGACCATAGAAGAATTGATGCTTTTGAGTTATGATGTTGGAGGAGAATATTGAAAGTGCCATGGGCTGCCAAAAGAACCAACAGATCTGTGTTAGAAGAAGTGCAGCCAGAGTGCTCCTTGGAGGCCAGGATGGTCAACTTCATCTCTCATACTTCAGACATATTGTCAGGAGGGACCAGTCGCTGGAGAAAGATATCATGTTTTGTAAGGTGGATAGGGTCAGAGAAAAAGAGGAAGACCCCCAAGTGAGATGGATTGGCAAAGTGACAGCATCAATGGTCTCAAGTGTGGCAACAGCAGTGAGGTTGGCCCAGGATCAGGCAGTGTTTCATTCTGTTGTGCATAAGGTCGCTATGAGTAGGTACCGACTTGATGGCACCTAACAACTGATAATCCAGGGGGGAGTCCTGGTGTGACGCTGTGGGTTAATGTGCTGGACTGCAAAGTCAGTTTGACCCTCAAGGTTGGAAGTTCAAGCTCCTTGGAAACCCTATACAGGGTCACTATGAGTCGGCACTGACTCAATGGCATTTAACAACAGCAGATGATAATCCAGGATAATTTCATTTTGAGATCCTTAATTATATTTGCAAAGACACTTTTCCAAATAAGGACACAATCTCAGGGGGTTAGCCATAGATATATTTTGAGGGGTGGTGGTGGTGGTGGTGGGAGAGGCACCATTCAACCCACTGCACAGCCTAATTCAGTAAAGCAACTTTGAATATACAGAGTTCTCTTTACCCCATTCTCTAAGCCTACCCCCACCTTCCTACCAAATTGTTATTAAGTGTCGTTGAGTTGGTTCTGGCTCATAGCAACCCTATAGGGTTTCTGAGGAGCCGCTGGTGAGTTTGAACCTCCGACCTTGTGGTCCAGTGCATTTTCTTGCAGCGTCACACCAGGACTCTCCCCAAATGCAGACATCTAAAAATAGAATCTTAGGGACTCTAGTAGTGTAGTGGTTACGAATTGGGTTGCTAGCCTCAGGGTCAGCAGTTCAAAACTATCAGCTGTTCCACAGGAGAAAGATGAGGCTTTCTGCTCCCGTAAAGATTTACAGCCTCGGAAACCCTGTACAGGGTTGCTATGAGTCAGAACCGACTCCAAGGCACATAAACACCACCACCAAAAACAGAATCTAGGCTTTATCTAGAGTTTTGTTCTCTAGAGGGATTTTCCAATCATAGTGTCAAAATCTTAATTCCGTAAGGATCATCTATAGCTGCACTCTGCCCCCTCTCCCTCAGGTCTCATCTTAAACACTTCCTCCTTCCAGATACAATCTCTGCCCATGTGCTGGTGTCTGTCATTGCATCCAACGTGTCTCCTTCATGTCTTCTATATGTTATTGTCTTTCTTCCACTTAAGCTCCATGATGGCAAGGATGGTATCAGTTCTATTTAATAACGCTTACCAAGCACCTGTGTACTGAGCAAATAATCGGAGTAACTGAGCTATATGAAGAAGAACATAGCATAAAGGTTGGGGGAAGGCTCATCAACAACCTTTGATATACAGTTGATACAACCTTGCTTACTGAAAGCAAAGAGGACTTGGAGCATTTACTGATGAAGGTCTAACAGTATAGCCTTCAGTATGGATTACACATCAATATAAAGTAAGCAAAAATCCTCACAACTGGACCAACGAACAACATTATAACAAATAGAGACAAGATTGAAGTTGTCAAGGATTTCGTTTTACTTGGATCCACAATCAATGCTCAAGAAATCAAGAAATCAAACAACATATTTCATATGGGCAAATCTGCTGCAAAAGATCTCTTTAAAGTGTTAAATGGGAGCAAAGATGTTATTTTGAGAGCTAAGGTGCACCTGACCCAAGCCGTGGTATTTTCAATCACCTCATATATATACAAGGAAGACCAAAGAAGAATTGATGCATTTGAATTATGGTGTTGGTGGAGAATATTGATTATAATATGGACTTCCAGAACAATGAATAAGTCTGTCTTGGAAGTGCAGCCAGAATGATCCTTAAAAGCAAGGATGGTGAGGCATCGTCTCAGGTACGTTAGACATGTTATCAGGAGGGACCAGTCCCTGGAGAAGGACATCACGTTTGGAAAAATGAAGGGTCAGCAAAAAAGAGGAAGACCTTCAATGAGATGGCTTGACACAGTGGCTGCAACAATGGGTTCAAACGTAACAACAATTGTGAGGATGGTGCCAAGCGAGGCAGAACTGACTCAATGACACATAACAACACCTGACACCTAGAATAGAGGCTGGCACATAGCTCTCTATTTATACGAATGTTGTTGTTGTTTTTATGTGCCGTGGAGTCGGTTCCGACCCTGCGCAGGGTTTCTGAGGCTATACATCTGTACGGGAGCATAAAACCTCATCTTTCTCCTGTGGAACAGCTGGTAGTTTCGAACTGCTGACCCTGAGGTTAGCAGCTCGATTTGTAACCACTACACTACCAGAGCTCCTTATTTATAAGAATACTTACTATATATATATTGTTGGCCATTGAGTTGGTTTCGACTCATAGCAATCCTGTATAGGGTTTCTGAGGAGTGATTGGTGAGTTTGAACCACCAACTATGCTGTTGAAACTGAACTTGCAGTCCAGCACATTAACTCACAGTGCCACCAGGGTATATATATGCTCCCCCCACCCCAATATCCTTTCTCTTCCACTCAAAAAAGCATATTCCATTCATATATATATATAAAATGCATGGATGGAATATGCTAACTTTTTTCATTCAAGGAGTTCTTGAGTGTTACAAATGTTAAGCATACTCAACTACTAACCAAGGGGCTGTTGGTTCAAAACCACCCAGAAACACCTTGGAAAAAAGGCCTGGTGATCTACTTCCAAAATATCAGTGGCTGAAAACCCTTTGGAGTGTAGTTCTACTCTGGCACACGGGGTTGCTAGGAGTTGGAATTAACTCAATGACACCAGGCTTGTCTCCTTTTCCCTCCCGTTCATTCAGCATACGTTCAATGAATACCTACCTCATGTTCTCTTGCCTTCTTCTGGTGAAGTCTTCCCTTATGAAATCCTTTCTTGGTACACACCCAGGTTCTTGCGTTTTGCAATCACCAAAAGTATGAGATACCAAGAAACACTCTAATTTCACACTTAAATCCTCAAACTGAGGAAATGGCTTAGGAATGCAGTCTAGAGATTAGTGGTTTCTTTTCAAGACCATATTATCAAATACTATCAAGTTCAAAACCAGGGGGAAAAAATAGCGCCCTCTCCTTGTACAATTAGCACCTTGTTAACAGTCTATGGAGTCTTGGCATGGCGCTGTGGGCTAATGCATCAGACTGCAAAGTCGTTTGAACTGCAAAGTCGGTGGTTCAAGCTCACCAGCTGCTCCTTGGAAACCCTATACAGGGTTGCTATGGGTCAGAATCGACTCGAAAGCACTTAACTACAAGTAGCAGTCTATAGCAACTCTCTGCACCATATGCATTACCGAGTGAAATCTTTTTTGCCCACTGAAACACACACATGAAGGACAATGATCATATGCATGACATAAGCCCCCATGTTTATTACCCAGTCAGAATCCAAAGATTGTTTCAAAATAACATATGTTCATTCTACATGCAAGACGTGTTCATAAAGTATTTTACTATAAGTATAACAATTAGAGGAGAATTTGGAACAGCTCCTCCTGGTAGATAGCAGTGTGTGGAAGATGGGCTGAGTGCTCTGGCTGCTCTCCCCCGGCCCCCCCACCCCCATATCCTTTCTCTTCCACTCAAAACAGCATTTTAAAAATGAAAATGAGTGATAGAGGGATAGCCTTACATCTGTGTTTATTTATTTTAAAACTTAACAACTCTCCCAAACTTGGATACATCAACTACTGTTAGTAATCAGAACGTCACTGAAGAGCAGGTCAGTGGGGGTAGCTGCCAGGACATCAATCTGCAAGTGCTCCTTACAGGAAATGCAGGGATAGGGAGGGACTTGAAATTCCAGGAAGCTTCTTAGGGAAGAGCTGTTCATTTACTCAGGCTGAAATTCTTGAGGTCATCCTTGATTCCTCCTTGCCTAATCTTTTCTCCTTTATCACATCTGCTTTTAACTTCCTTCATTTTCCACCCTGATGCTGATAGCCTCCACTGAAACTCCCCAATCACTAACCCCATCATCTCTCTCTTGGATTATAGTTGTTGTGAAGTGAGTCGGTCCCGACTCAAAGCCACCGTGTTTAGGGTTTCTGCCAACTTCTCTGTTCAAACCGACATTGCAAACTTGTGTATTAACCCACAGTACCACACCAGGACTCCTGGATCATTGATCTCCTATTTGCTTCCTCTCTTACCCCTTTACAAACAGCAGCTAGAGCAAGCTTTTTTTTTTTTTTTTTTTAAAATAATATTTTTATTGTGTTTTTTGGTGAAGGTGTACACAGCAATTTAGGTTCCCATTCAATAATTTCTATGCAAATTGTTCAGTGATATTGGTTATATTCTTCACAATGCATGAATATTTTCATAACTTCTGCTTCAGTTCTGTTTCCACCCAACTAGTCTATCTGACCATTCTCATCTTTGTTTCCAAGTAACTGTTGATTATTTGGTCTCAGATGGTTTTCTAAGAGGAGCATATCCTCGTGGATATTTTGTAAGTTGATCTGTTATTTAGCTTAAAGGGTGACCTCAGAGGCTAGTACACAAATGTACAGTTCGAGGTATAAAGAGTATGTTGGTGTAATAGTCTCGGGGAGTCCTCTAGTCAGCCAAACCAGTAAGTGTGAATGTTTAAGAATTTGAGGTTGTGTTCCACATTTTTCTCCCATTCGATCAGAATTTGTCTGGCCTGATCAGAATGGTTGGTAGTGGTAGACAGGGACCATCTAGTTCTAGTTCTAGTCTCAGGGTAGATGAGGCTGTGGTTCATGTAGACTATTAATCGTGACCACTAGTTTCTTCCTTGAGTCTTTCCTTTCCTTTTCTCTCTTTTGCTGTGAACAAGAAGAGACCAATAGTTGTATCTTAGATGGTCACTCTCAAGCTTTTAAGACCTCAGACACTACTCACCAAATCAGGAATGTAGAGCACACATTTTATAAACTGTATGATACCAATTGACCAAGTTGTTCCACGAGATGATGGTGCTAAGCCTTCAAACTCAGGACACCGTCTTGTGAAGTGTTTGGTTATGTCAACGAAGTATCCATAATCATTGTACTCCCATGTGCTTTATTACATATTGTTGTTGTTAAATGCTGTTGAGTCAGTTCCAAACCATAGCGACCCTGTATAAGGTTTCCGAGGAGCAGCTGGTGAGCTTGAACCGCTGACCTTGCAGTTCAAACTGACTTTGCAGTTCAGGACTCCTTATTACATATATCTATATCTATAAATGGAGTCCTGGTGTGGCGCTGTGGGTTAATACACCAGACTGCAAAGCCATTTAAACTGCAAGGTCAGTAGTTCAGGCTCACCAGCTGCTCCTCAGAAACCCTCTACAAGGTCGCTATGGGTCAGAACCAACTTGATGGCACTTAACAACAACAACATATCTATAAATATATATGCATAATGCACATATATGTGTATATATGTGTACTTGTGTATGTACATATATAATATGCATGTGTATATAATATATACATACATATGGACCCTGGTGTGGTACTGTAAGGTAAACACTGGACTGCTAAACCAAAAGGGCGGTAGTTTAAACCCACCAGTCCATTCTCGGAAACCCAAAGGCAGTTAAGGCTCACAATGAGTCAGAACCGACTCTATGATATGTAACAATAATGTATACATATACACATGCCCGCACATGTATTTTTGATTGTTGCATAATTGCATAGCTATTACCAAAAGGTCCCTTATTTCTTGTGTACCTCTTAATGACATCATTTGCATTTGGTGGAGAACAACCCTTTAACTGACAGAGGCAGGGGTCTATGTCAGTTCCCGGTCCAAACCCTCGAAATGGCTTCCATAAATACTTATGTTATTGTTGTTGTTAAGTGCCGTCAGGTCAGTTCCGACCCATAGTGACCGTGTATAGAGTTTCTGAGGTGAGATTAATGAGCTTGAACCACCAACCTTGCAGCTCAAATGACTTTGCAGTTCAGTTTATTAAACCACAGCACCATAAGTATTAATATAATTCCCAAGTCCTTGGTGGTGGTGGTTATGTGCTGTGGAGTTGGTTCCAACTCATATTGAACCTGTACAGGGTTTCGAAGGTTGTAAATCTTTGCAGGAGCAGATAGCCTCATCTTTCTCCCATGGAACAGCTGGTAGTTTTGAACTGCTGACCTTGAAGTTAACAGCCCAATTCATAACCATTACACTACCAGAGCTCCCAAGTCCTTACCATAATCTTTTAGACCCTATTCAAGGTGGCCCTGCCTACTTCACTCTCATCCTCTAATCAACCCCTCCTCCATAGGCACTGGGGCCTATCTGTTCTTTCTCAAACCTGTCCTTAGAAAGCCCCAGGGTTAGTTCTAAGACTTTGTTCAGTCTTTGCTCAAACACTAACATCTCCTTAAACAGTTGCTTCCAGATAGAAAACAGTAACAAACCAGTTGCTGTCAGGTTGATTTCATGTGTGTCAAAGTAGAATTGTCCTCTGTGAAAGGCTGTACCCTTTCAGAAGCAGATCGCCAGGGCTTTCTTTTGAAGCGCTTCTGGGTGAATTCAAACTGCCAAACTTTTGATAAGTAGCTACTTAAACTTTTGCCTACAGGGACCCCACCCTTTCAGATTACCCTATTTTAAAGTCTCTCCCTACTCTCTATCAGCTACAGCACTTTATTTTTCATTAGCGCATATTACATGATTTTTTTCTTTTTTGTCTGTCTGCTCCAGAAGAAAATACCAGCTCCATGAAGGCAGGCCTTGTCTTGTTATGTTAGCTCCTAGAACAGAGCCTGGTACACAGTAACAACTGAGCAAATAGTCACAACACTTGAGAGACACTAGGAGTAGTTAATAACACTAGCTGCTTTGCTTTTGTTTTTGTGGAGTGGGGTTTGGAGAATTTGGGCCACAGCTGAATTGTAAAAGACAAGAGAGAAGCAGTGAGTGTTAGAGCTGCTTCCCTCCCTTCCCTGGTCACTCTCTGCAGTGGGCATCCCCTCCTCTAATGTGGGGAGTATTACTTGAAGGGCACCACTCACTACTAGTTCCTGCTGCTCTGAAGCCAAATTCCTTTCTTCCTTGAGAACAGATGCTAAATTGGTTCAGGGTAAGAGATAAGGGCTCTGGTGGAACAATGGCTGCTGAGCTGCTGACTGAAAGGTCACAGTTTGAGCTCACCAGATGCTCTTTGGGAGAAAGAAGTGGTAGTTTGCTTACATAAAGATTACAGCCTAAGAAGCCTTATGTGGGGATTTCTGTGCTAAGGGTTGCTGTGAGTCAAAATGGACTTGAAAGCAGTGGATTGGGTTTTTATTTTTATGTTTATGAGCTAGATACACAGATAGATAGCTATAGATAGATAGCTGCTGTTGAGCGCACTCTGACTCCTGGCACCCTTCTCTACACCAGAACAAGATGCTGTCCAGTCCTGCATCATCCTCATAATCACTAACATCATTGAGTCCATCCTCGCAGCGATTGCACTAGTCCATTTTATTGTGGGTCTCTCTCACTGGTCTTCTCTTTCACCAAACTTCCTCTAGTGATTGGTCTCTCTTGATGACATGGCTAAAGCAAGTGACTCAGACAGTGTTCTGTTATGATCTAGAAAGTTTTCATTGGCAAATCTTTGGAAGCAGATAGCCAGGCCTTTTTTCCTGGTCTTAGTTTGGAAGCTCCAATATCACAGCAACATGCAAGCCACCATTATGACAAAATGGATCAGAGAGTAAGAGCGTCCTTTAAAATATTCAGCTTCTCAGACTTCTTTAGGATGGCCATATTATGTACTTGTGGCTAGTTAAGATGCAAATGGAAGTCATTGATTGGATTAACAGAATACATCATTAAAGAGAATGAACTCAAGCCAATATACACCTTCTCAGCTTTCAGTGTTGTTCTTTGCCATTCCCCCTTCTTCCTGCCTAGAACTGGCATGTGATTGCTTAGAGATTTGGCAGCCCAAGTATCTTGCTACCCTGATGAGAGTGCCACACACAGTATGACAAAAGCCAAAAAGAATCTGAGTCCCTGATAGCATTATGGAGCTGCTACCCCATTCCTGGAATGTCTGCCTTCAAATTTCTTGGTATGTGAGAACAAAATTTCCTATTACAGTAAACTCACTGTAGCCACATGCATTTGAATGCA